CKCACAGCTAGGAAACAGAACTGTGACTTTTACTCGTCTTGTCATGAGTAGGACACTAACTTTGAGAAGTTAACTTTAATTCTTTAAATCAAACCCTCAACAGACATGAATACTCGTCGCTGTGCACTACGACTGCCAAACTGCCTTAGCTGTTGTCGTATTTGTGAAAGATTCAGGTTCACCTCAAGCACTTTTACGTTCATATTTACTCTTGTGTTCCATGTCACTACTGTTGCATGCATCCTTGTGAGAGAGTGTTACTAGTTGCATATTTTTTTGTTTTGTTTCAGTGAACACACTCATGACTACTGACACTAAATGTTACTAAAAGAGTATTCAGGGCCACTAACTTACAGACATGTCAAACTGTAACTGTAATACACACACACAGATCAGGTTTTGGTATCAGTCAGTGTGGTTGTACACTTCAACCAAAAGTACCAGAAAATTAAACGTGTATCCAGAAGATGCTTTGACTTGTTCATGTGTGATTCTATGGTTGGTTTGTCACAGTGTCTAATGTGTCTGGTCACATTATTGAGCAGGTAAATTAAATATACAGGTGACACGGGCATCTGAACAGTATGTGAAACTGTCTGACAGCTACACATTTCGTTTTTCAGAGCGAGCTTCAGCACATTCAGAATTGAAGTAAAATAATAGATACTGCAAAAGTCAAGTCTCAACTTTAATGTCAATTGGTTGACATTATAAACTGGAATCAGAGGGAGATTGAGGCCTCTCAACACATAGTGCCCTAAGTTTTGGGGTTCAAAAGTAACCAGACAGGTGCACGTAAAGTCAAACAAGATCATCATACTTCCTAAATCCTTAAGACCTTGACCCACAGACAGTTGACGTTGCCCTCCCTGTTGATTTTCTCCCAGAGCTTCACTGCCTAGTCCTCAGTAAGTGGAATCTGACTAAGATCAGGTCAATGACTGACTTTACGTCACCTCAGCCTGAAAAGTTCTTGGTTTTCTTCGGCCATATTAAGATTGTTTACCTGCTGGATGATGAAATTTGGCTCAAGAAATTTTGGTGCATTTTTAAAACTACCACCTTGCAAAAGAGATGAGTGGCATTGGGGTTTCTCCACTTTCCTCTCTCCCTATAGAGAAGCATGATTTTGATACCATTAATTTTCCCACAACTTCACTGGTTCCTTTGTAAAAATGTTTTCTGTATTTAAGGTGAACAAGATGTTTGCATCTTGTAGTAAGTCCCGTGGTTCTATGGAAACATGTACGCCTTCATTCTGGAGAGCACTTTGACTTGCTGTTCTAGTTATCCAGTGCATGCCCGACTGAACATGATGAAACAAAACCTAATATGGACAAGTCCTTTGTTATAACACCAGAGTGGCAGCTTTGTGGAAGGTGCTGTCTCCTCTTTGTACAACCACAGTACTGAGTAACAACAGTTTAAAAAAGAAAAGGTATATGAAACAACAGATGTAACTTATTTTTCTTGCAATGCTCATGTAACTGAACAGTTTTGTGCAATACAGATAAAAAACTCCCAAACCCAACCCAGAGGAAAATCTGCTCCCCCATTGACGTACAGTAAACTGATCACAAATTAGGCAAATCAGACACATTTTAAAAAATAGATATAAAAACTCAGACTCCCCAAAGGAATTTTTGCACAAAAAAACATTTCTTAAACATCAAAGTTAAATTGCAAGTTACTGCAGTGGTGTGGGGGGGTTTTTTGAGTTGGCACTGTGGACTTTTTTAAATCCAATTCAAGCGTAACATCGTAGATTCGGGGCACTTAATACAGTTTTTATTGTTTCAACATTTGAAAGTTCACAAAACAGATTCTTAACATGACAGTTAATTTTTTTCTTTTTCAAAAACACTGTAAACAACGAGAGAATGCATGGAGGTACCGTTTCACAGGAAGTGTACCACAAATAAAATCAACTCATCACAAACATTTTGAAGTTTTAAAATTAAAAAGGAAAATATTTTATAAGAGCAATGAAAGTGTTTATATTTGAAACCCTTCAGGGCTCAGACTGATCAGAAATTAGATTAATGAGAGTCTTTGGCCTCTGGTTTTACATGAGATCAAAATCAAGCACACTGATCTGGAGTCGAACCAGGCCTCCTCCTGCAGATTTATTTTCAGCTCACTTGGAGACGAGGAGGAACTTTCCTTCTTCGCTTATGTAACCTGATGAAATTCAAAGCAGGCTAAGTCTGAGTGATCTGTAGCTACGTCTACGGAGGGTTTGACCTAGTCTTTCTGAACGTCCCATTGTAATCTGGGATTACACAGTATGTAATCCATGTCTTTATGGCTGTCTCAGAGTAAAGGATCTTCTCCACATTTCAGTCTACCCATATAATCAAGAGTGCAAATAAAGGTCACACTGCACATTATGCAGAGTGAGAATCTGTGCAACTGTCAGAGGATAAAGTTCAGTCTTACGGTATCACACCTTTCAGTCCGACGCACGGATGCACAGGCAAAATGTTCATACTCAACGTTCATTTCTTCATCTTGAGGTCAGCTTCTATGGCACAACGGCGCCCCCTGGTGCCTCCATCCTAGAAGAGAGGAAAAGCATCCTGTTTGACTACATTTGATAGAAGCTGTGTAGCTCTTCAGACTTCAGCTCTAGTTTTCTCAGTTTTTAAAAATTGGGGTTTTAATTCTGTTTGCTTCAGGGAAAAAAGGAAAGAAAGTAAAAGTTTTACAGGCTTCAGGACGAGTACTTACAAAAAGAGAAAGGAGGAAGGCAGGAGAAGACATGGAGACAGTGTCCTGCAAGAGGAAAATGATGCACATCAGAGCTGTGACTCAGTGGAAGTCTCAAGAGCAAGAAAGAAAGACGAACGCAGTAGATTCAGTGCGAGGGAAATGTTGAGCTGAGCTTTAAGAGAGCTACTATTAGAACAGACGTTTCTTTCATAAATTAGCACATTACCTTATGGCCATTTTAAATCAACATTTTCATTCTTCACTGCACTGCAATTGCACGACTTATCCACACGTTATGTGTATCTTTAACATATTCTACAGACATTTATTATTTCAACTAATTTTTTAAGCACAGCAGGAAGTTATACAATCATCTTCTACCTTTCAGCCAACTACTGGTTTTAGTTCACAACAGTACACAATGAAAATATTTTGTATATTATGTTGCTCAAACAACTAACTGGAAAAAAAGATTTTGGCTCAGATCCTGCATTATGGTGTTTTATTGAATGTATAAAATATCTAAGTATTCAGATGTATTTTGTTTAATTATTGTGTTAATTTAAGGACTATGAATGTATTTATTCATCTCTATGTGCAACATCAGCCACTCTTCACATGGAAAAATAAGGCACTGACAAAAAACTAAATATTAATAGCTACTCATCAGTCAAGAGCCAGTTCATTTTCATACTGTTGTGAAATGAGATGAAAACAATAGTTTGCTTTGGTAAATAGTTTTCAGTAATGTCCTTTACATTATTGCATTCTTACATTAACACTCACCATTTTCCAAAGTATAACAAATGTTTTCAAAATACATTTCTTATTTTGCAGTCAACCTTGGGCTGAGACTTATTTGAGATACATGACTGAGCAATTTATTTTTCAGTTTTCTTTGAACAGTCATACCTTCCAAGATAAATCCGATTTGACCAGTGAACTTGCCAAAATAAGTTTTGCACTCATTAACTGAAAATTCGAACCATATGAAAAGACAATATTTACCGAAAAGGTTTTTCACTGTGGAAAATGATCTAGGTTTAAAATCTTGGAAGGTTTTGACTCTTCATAGCAAAAACCAATGGCTACCTGACAGGACGCTATGTCACACTTTGGAAAATGGCCAGCAGATCTAGTTATGCTTCACTTTCCTCTACCTTTAAGTCAGCCTGTTGTCTCACCCTTGTCTCTTCTTCTGTACTCTCTGCTTTTGTCAAAATTCTAGTGAAGCACCTTGTCAGTCGAGTCCTGTTTGCGTGTGCTCTCACGGCCCCTCAGACTCTTGGCGCTGATACCCGCCTCTGACGTCTCCATGATGAGCTGGGTGGCTAGAAACTGCTGAATCTGCTCCAGGACGTCGCGCTGCATCTCCAGCGCCATGTGGTACACGTCGTGATCCAGGCTGTTGTACATCACAGCGTTCTGAAACATCAGCATGATTTCCCTCTGGAACTCGGCGGTCGTCCGGATCAAACCAGTCTCTATGTTTTTTTTGATGGTGGCCAGGTCCATGGGCCTGTAGGAGAAGAAAGAAAGAGGGATGGAGAGACAGTTCAGTCTTGTGTAGTGAGCTGCTGAAGGCTTCTGATTGGTTAATGTCAAGCTGTTTTCAGACATTAACTCTGGACTATATCAGACAAATTGGGTCTGTACATTTTCTAGAGTTTGTCTTTCCCATATGAAGAACGCAGCAGGAAATTGTCTGGGTCAGACGCATCTACAACAACAGGAAAATGTCCAGAACATTCAGGCGAGGGGTGATGTCTGTGTAGAGCATTCAGGAGGAAGGACATGACGTATAGATTCCACTGCGGACAACACATGCATGTCTGAAAGCAGCTTCAATAATCTAATGCCATTCAGAAATAAAAAAAATCTTAGTGACTTAACTTTACATATTTGTAATTTCGAATCATCACTCTGCACATGCAAAATGAAAAGGAACCACTGTAAAAATGATCAATGGAAAATAGTCTTAAAACAAAATATGACCACAGCAAAAAATATGTCATGCTTACCTTTGCACAATACTGTGATATCCAGGTGCAATATCATCTGTTACTGGCTGCAGGAAGACATTAGCGTACCTGCAACAGGTTGACATCAGTTAAATCTGTTTAAGTATTGAACTAAGAATCTAGATGGACACTACTGTGTAAAAGAGGCCGAGCATCAGTGGCTAATGTTATTGTTACGAGTTCTGACCTGTGATTGGCTGCTGCACGCCACACCAGCATAATGGCTTTCTTCCAGATCTTGTGAGCCTGTAGTGCTTCTAGGTCCTCGCTGCACACAGAACTGCACAATACCGGTTTATAGGAGGGAAGGTAGCACAAACAGAAAGTATTATCAAGCAGAACCTGAACCTCACAACATGGAACAAATTCAAGTCATGTGTTGACAGAAATTAAAAGCATTCTGCTCACACTACAGCAAAAGCACCATCTCTCTGAATGACTTTCACTCACAACTGCGATGAGGCCGGGCTGCTGGGGATGGAGTCTGCAGTCGTGTGGAGCTGCAGAGATGAGGACGCTGTGTGGAGGCTGTATCCGTCCTCACTCTCACTGGCCGCGGGCTCGAGATCCATGTCGCCGTCCGGCTCTGACAAGAATCCCTCGACCCCATCGCCCTCCTCCTCTCCGCCCACGTCTGGCCCGTTGATCTCATTGTCCTCTCTAGACCTTGAGGCACTCTCTCCTCGCCCACCACTGATTCCATTCTCTGCCTTCATCACCTGCAAAGATGGAGACAAATGCAGAGATTAAAACAAACCTTCAAATGAAGCTTTACTGCTTGACCGCTGTAAAGCTTCATGTTTGCTCTGTCTTCGTCAGGAGTTTTACCTTTGGATGCCTTTCTGTCAGTGGTCTATCTTCTAATACCAATTCTGCAAAGATAGTGAAGATGAACATTATCTTTCAAATTGCATGTAATGAAGCAAGAGAAAACGTACATTTACATGTGGCTGTGCATACCTCTATGTGCTTTATTAGGTCTTAGCTGTGCCCACTTCTCACTCTCACGTTTTATGGCAACATCCGAGGTCATTTGGCTTTTCGTGTGCATCATCTTTCCAGTTTCTCTCATGGCCTCAGGCCTTGGAGGTGCTCCAGCGGGGCAGTGCTCCAAACTCTTCGAGTTGAATGAGGACGAGCAGCTGAGAGGAACACTTCTTAATCCCATGGGGAACACTGAGAGACAGTGATTTTGAGTGTTGCACAGAGAAGAGAGTGAAGCTGAAGTCTCATCTTGGACTTCTGACACGTCTGTCTTCCCCTCCAGGCTACAGAGAAGAGATGATGCCTGTGGAACCCCTGTGGGCACTATGTGGTGGGAGTCATGGGGTTGGAAAGGCCCAGCTTCCCAGGCACCAGACACCAGAGCGTGGCCATTCTCCTCACACAGGGACAGAGCAGCCTCGACTGCAGCAGCATCCAAAGCATCAGCAGCTTCATCGGCCTTTAGAAGAAGAGAAATGATTGCATCAGAGAATATTTCACATGTTTTTACCATGTCCCCAGATCTCAGCAGTGAGTAAACTCCCAGGATTAGTAACTAAAATGAAAATATGCAGATTGTAAAATTCTGTGAATATGTAATACTTCCTACTACTTCCTCTCGCACCTTGTCTTCAATGATGGCAATAATGTCCCCCACAGTCTTGAGGTCCAGCTCATCTCCCATGTAGGACACTGTCTCGTCTTCCTCACAGAGACCTGACCCTTTGTCCTCTGCAGAGACAAACAATCGCATAAGAATAACTCATTTTCAAGTTTTTCTTTTTCAAAATACAGTTTTAGACTAGCAACAGTAGCAGTTCGTAAAACATAGTTTTAAAGGGAGTGGCAGACAAAGTGAGGGTGTGAAACCTTATTCTGCAGCTACAAAACAGGTGATTTTAAAGATGTGCATCGGTTTAGGCCTTTGGATTGAGCACAAGGTGGTTTGGATACTGATCATTGCGGACAGACCTGTACTCGCTGAGGCTGTGGAGTCAACAGGAAGAAGAGAGGCAGCCGATAGAGGAGCGCTGGAGACGGAGTTGGTGCCGACCATGAAACTTAATGGAGCAGATAACTGCGTGGGACCCGCCTCCAAGAGACGAGACAACATCGGGGCACCTGGAGAGCAAACATTCACACACACTCATAAACACACATGATGCAGAGGACAGGGGAAGCAGTGAAGGCTTTACTTACAGTTAGCATGCTGATATAGAAAGAATACATACATTTAGCATTCAAGGAGTAAAAATAACAAATGTAAAACCATAAAGACAGAATACTGAGTATTCAACCCTTTTGCCAAACAAGCTTCTACTAGTGTTCCACCAGTCTTTACTGGAATTAAATCTATTTTCATTTTTACATGAATTTTGTTTGTAGATTTATATAAAGGAAATTAACTATATATACAGGACTAAAATGTGATACATGAGTCTTATCAGTAATGAATACAAATCAAAGACGGTATCCGTACCTGTTGCCTGAGAGAGAGGTTGACTCGGCAGAGCCAGCTGCAAGTCATGTGCTGCGATCATATTACCAGAGGACACGTCACCATCACCAATCTGTCATATAAACACATACAAACAGTTTTTATGTTCCTGCCCATATTACCAGGAAAAGGTTTCTGAATCGCAAAATATGTCAAAGTAGGTTTTGTATGTATGCTACATAATTTTGTAAATGCCTGAAAGCCTATAAATTCTACTCTTGACTGTCTAATTTAGGTACAGATAGCACTGCTAATCAAACCAGAAACATTTTCACAGGAATGTAGTGAGGCAAAGATCTGCAAACTTCTTTTGAAATGTTGGGATTTCACAAGTGCACAAGAGGTTTCAAGAGAAAAGAAA